CTGGGTGGATTTTTCTGCTAAAAATAATAATTAAAAATGGTTACACTTTTTGTTGTCTAGAAATCACGGTTTAAAACCGCTAAATTTGAAATTTTACCTGTACTTTGAACATTTATATCTCCTAAGGCCATTACTTGCAAATAATTTACTTAATTGTTTTTGAAAGCCAATAAGGTATACCTTGATTTTATACAAAAAAAAAATCATGAATATGCAAGTGCCTGGGAAGGAGTAAGCTTCCAAGAATGAATTTTTGCAGTTAATGCGCTTTGTTAGATTACAAGAAACAATTGTGGCCTTAGGTCTGCCATGAAATGTATAATTTATTTTATTTCTTTCTACATGCATCTTCCAATACTTAAAAAAAAAATCCATGTGCTTAAGCAATAAAAAGCCTAATAAAGTCCTAGAAATGATCTAATTTTACCACATTCTTAACCAACAAAATACCCTAGCAACGACATAGATATGCTTAGCAATTGCTACTTTGATTCTTTAATAAATGGTACTCTAATTAAAAATAAATAAAAAAGACATTTTTATAACAAAAACTGTGCAAGAGTGCTTGATAAAAATTATTTTCTAAGCTTTTTTAATGTAACAAAATGCACAAAAATAGGTTCAAAGAATGCGATGGCAAAAGTGTAATAACCAAAGTAAGGAAGTGACATACTTTTAATATGACTGTGATATTTTTTTTAATGACTGCAATGATTGCTTAACAAGCAATTCCCTTTGGACAATCATTTGCAATACTTTAGAAAATCATTAATGATTGCAAGACAAAATTTCTTGAAGACAAATTCCTCTCAAAGAATTTGCACATGAATTAAATAGCATGAGAAGAGAAACTACGAAATAACGTTTTTTTGTTTTGTTATCTGTTGTTTATTCAATAAATAAAATTAAAAAAAAAAAGATAAATACAAAATGTCAGAGAGCAACAATATAGCCAGTATCTATGAAAAATGCATGTACTGTGATAAAGAACTGACTTCTTGTGGCCCTTTTAAGCGTTGGAACAAACATGGGATCTTTCAACTCAATGAATTAACTGCTGACATAAGTAATCATAAACAAGTTTTAAAGGTATAATTTATCAATTCATATATATATATTTTTAATTATAAGCAACAATACTTCCAACAAATAGATGAAAAATATAACATTATTATTTTATAGTTACCACAGACAAACCAGAATAATGACAAAACTCTGATTGAAAGTCAATTACAAATTTTTCTTTCATGTTACGACTGGTTATGTGCATACAACCGTTTTTCTTTTGGTATTAAATGGAAGCAGCCAAACAGATGTCATTACCCAAGTCATTAATTTCAAATTGGTAAAAAAGCATCAAAAATTAGATCCATACCTTTGAATACCATTGCTGTTTATAATAAAAAGAATTCATCGCTACCAATTGGAGCCTTTTTTTGCTTCAAGCAACTAAAAACTATTTCTATAGATAACATTATTGACATAATAGAACCAAAACCCTTTCCATACCAAAGAAGGGTAATGTAAACATATGCAGAATGCCTCAAGAAAAAATCAAACATTTTTTTTTTGAATTTTTGTTTTCTCGAGGTCTGCTTCAAGATGTAGCATATGATATAAATAAAATAAAGTTTGACAATGGAGAGGAACAAAAAGTGGCTATTGCCATTTTTTGTTCCACTCCATTGCCATTGCTCTAATGCCATCTTTAGCTAGTCTTGAATCCAAATGTAGTAAAAATTCAACTTTGCATACTCAACTTTATTTGCCATTTCAGATATAGATCCGGACTTAAACCAATCAAACATAACTGCTGACGATGAACAATGCATTGACTGTACTGACCTCATTTCAATAATCAATCAGGTTCGTGAGTTGGTTATACGAAGTAAAGATGAAGATCTACTATATGATTTAAATGTGGCTTTAGAAGATGTTAAAGCCTAAATTAAACATCAAATTCGTGATGTGCGCAAAAAATAGCCAAAATAATGGCTTTTGAGCAACTTGATGAGGAAATAGGATTTTGGCTGAAGGATTTTTGTCAAAAAATATTGCCCGCTAAATTCCGTGAAGGCCAAAAAGAATATTTTGGGAAAAAAGGAATGACTCTAAATGTTGATGTTTGTGGGCATTACCAAAAAGAAAAGTGTTCAGATATTCTTCAAAGCAAAAAACATTGTTAATGCAGATGTTTATGTCTGGAGAAGAACAAGGGAAAAAAATGTGAATTTGTGACAACTCAACAAATTCGATCATTATTCTCTAGGCGAGTAAATTAACTTCTATATTTACTGATACTCAAAGTCTGAATGATATAAAATGTAACTTTATTCTTTTCTTGAGTCTTAAGATAAATATTTTGAAATTACCTTCATGCTTCAAGTACATATTTTTAGATGGAGTAAACAAAAAAGAGAAGGAAAGCTGGTTACCATTTTTTGTGAAGATGCTTATCTAACTGATGACATGGTTGATCTGACTGATGATGTGAGGCATACAAGTCAAAATAAAGATGATGATTTAAACAACAATATTTAGCTCATAGCAAAAGAGTTAGTAGCTGATTTTCAAATTAGTGATTGGGTTGTTATTGAATATAAAATGCAATGGTATCCTGCAATAATTTAAAATGTAAGACGTTATAACACTATAATAGATCTTTTTTATTTAGTTATATAATTATTAATTTATTAACAACAATATTTAAATGTAAGAAATATTCAGGAAGCACCAATGATTAGACGTTATTTTACTTTTAACTTAACCCTGTAGGTCAATGGTAACAATTATTAAAATTACTTATTTAAAACTTTATTTTGTTTGCTTTCTTAAAAAAATTATATTTGAAAAAAGTTTATCAGAAATTTACATAATTGTTTTAACAATGATATTAACACTTTTAAGTGTTGAAGTTTGGTTCTTTTTCTCATTAAAGCTTAGAAAATAATTTTTATCAAGCACTCTTGTACAGTTTCGTTATAAATATATCTTTTTTTTTATTTTTAATTAAAATACTATTTATTACAGAATCAAAGTAGCTGTTGCTAAGCATATCTATGTCGTTGCTAGGGTATTTTGTTGGTTAAGAATGTGGCAAAATTAAATTAGGACTTCTTTAGACTAGAATTTCTAGGACTTCTTTAGGCTTTTTATCGCCTTAAGCACATGGATTTTTTTTTTTCAGATATTGGAAGATGCATGTAGAAGGAAACAAAATAACTTATACATTTCATGGCAGACTTAAGGCCACAATTGTTACTTGTAATCTAACAAAGCGCATTAACCGCAAAAATTCATTTTTGGAAGCTTATTCCTTCCCAGGCACTTGCATATTCATGATATTTTTGTATAAAATTAATGTATACCTTATTGGCTTTCAAACACAATTAAGTAAATTATTTGCAAGTAATGGCCTTAGGAGATGTAAATGTTCAAAGTACGGGTAAAATTTTAAATTTAGCGGTTTTGATCCGTGATTTCTAGACAACAAAGTGTAACCATTTTTAATTAATATTTTTAGCAGAGAAACCCACCCATAGTAGAAAAAAGAAAAAGTAATGTGTTTCTAAAATTCATGTTGCTAAAATTGCCCCACAAAGTAGTAATTCTATTCCATGCAGCAATACTCGTACAAAATGGGCTGAATTTCAAGACCCGATATCTCCGCAAATAATGGGAGTTTTCAAAAAAAAAAAAATTTTAAATTTCTTAAAAAATGAAATTTAAAAGAAATTTTAAATTTCAAAAATTATAATTTAGAAATTTAAAATTTCTTGTTTATTTACCATATATCTAACCCATTGCAAAAATAACATCTGCTAAGGTTGCATCATTTTATTTTACTTGCCACTTTCTTACTCCAGATTCCATTCTTTATCTCTAAATCTTTACTAATTTCATTTAAAATTGTTTTGGAACACAATATACAATGTTATACACATTCTCTGTAATTTGTCTTTTGCCAATAGGCTTATATAATTTGGAAAGATAGCATAAGGTAAAGATGTTTTTAAAAACCAGAAAACTAAAAATTATAATGTTCATTGTAATATTGACTGCAGTACTTTCTTTTAATTAACTAATAATTCAGAAGAAAGTTGCTAACTCTGAAACTTGATTTAATAGATGGGCTTGGACATAAAAAGTGCATGAGACACTCTAGAGATGTTTTTTTAGCTACATAAGGAAAAAACTATAAGTTGAAAAATTGACTTAAAACTGTTAAAAAGAAATAAAAGGTTTCAGCCTAAATCCAAGAGATTCAGGCTGGATAACTTTCATCAAACTTATTTTTTCTTTAAACAGCAGTTTGGTTAAGGTATCTTAGCAACCAGCTTAGCAATGTCTCCCCAAATATCTCTTTAACCAAATCCCAATTGAACTCAAACTTTTGTTAAACAACGGTTATTTCTTAAATTCTTAAGCAAAAATAGGCATGTTTGAATTCTCTTTAAATATTACTTCAAATTGTTTGGAACCACAAAAACTTTTTTTTTTGTAAAAATAGTTTATCTAGAAGGTTAAACATGTTTGTTTCATAATAGGAAATAAATGTTTTATTAATTAGAATATAATACATAACATATGGTAAACTATTTACTTAGGTGATGGAGATACTAAACTTCTTAACAAAATATCAAAATCTGATCTTTATCCAGGTCAAAAAACTATCAAAAGAAAATATAATATCAGTATTTTTTTTCAAAGATCTTAGCTGTGATGAAACTTTGATAAAAATGCAACCATGATGAAATTCAGAACATTCATGAGTTTTTCAATAACCTGATATGAACAAAGTGTTTGAAACTAATTTTTTGAAACAGTACTTTAAAAATGCTATTTATATTAACTAAGTAATTTTAACAATTAATTTTAATTTCATATTAATTTTTTATTATAAATTTGTAATTTTAATAATTGAAACAGAGATTGAAATTTCAATCAAGACACAACTATAATTTCTCTAAAACAAGTAATATTTTGAAAATAAATAATACCTTTCTAATCGGACCATGTGTTTCTAACTCCCTGCGCAGCTTTGATTCTGTTGTGTCATAATTCTATAATAAAGTTGTTATGATATTACATCTTTATGTGTTAAAAAAATAAATACATTCAGATAAAATTACTTACTATTCTTGCAACAAACAATGTTTTAAATGGATCACCAGAAGCATTAGGATCAGTATGTGGGTCCCCTTTTAAAATTAAAGATTAACTATTATAAAAAATATTTTAAATGCAAAAAAATCATATTATGTAATGCTTAACTTGATGCTCATTCGAGCATATTTGACAGAGAACTCTAGAAACCCATTGCAACCGAGGTAATAGTTTTTTTTATAAAAAAAAGTGATGCAGCACTTTTTTTTTATAAGAAAACTTCTAAAAAATAGAATAACGAGATTTTATAATGTACTTTATCAAACCACTTTTTTGAAATAAACTAAGGAGGTACATAAATAGTTCAGTTTAAAACAGATCAAAACTCCCTACATAACAACTCATCACAACTGTAAAGTGTAAATTGAGTTATTTAACAAGAGTGAAATTCTTAATAGTTCCTATAGTAAATAGTTTAATTAGTAAAATTTATCTTTGTTGTTTAGTAAAAGACCTTTGTCTGATAAATTCCTGTGATTAATTTGTGCTAATGGTATTTTTGTAATAAAAATATAGGATTGCAAAAAATTAAAACTTATCAATTTAATTTTACCTTGTTAAGAAACTTTATGAAAGATTATACTGACCTGAAAATGTTTTGCAATAGGCAATCTTTCTATTACTAATACACTATATATATATATATATATATATATATATATATATATATATATATATATATATATATATATATATATATATATATATATATATATATATATATATATATATATATATATACTATATATATATATATATATATATATATATATATATATATATATATATATATATATATATATATATATATATATATATATATAGTGTATATATATATAGTGTATATATATATATATATATATATATATATATATATATATATATATATATATATATATATATATATATATATATATATATATATATATAAAGAGAGAGAGAGAGAGAGAGAAAGAGAGAGCTGAGAGACTCTTCCTCTGCATTATCTTGGCTTTAATGGCTGTTAAGAGTTCCATGTCAAACACGCACAAATGGGCACTACTATCAAGTTCAGCACTAATATAAAGTAATATATATTTAACATATATATGTAAGTATAATTTCAAGTGGTTTTTTTTATTTGAGTGCATAAATCTTTTATCGTTTAAATTAATTTTTCAGAAAAAAAAACACTTCAACTATATGATTTTTTTAACTTGAACTGTTGTTAGGGTAAATTCTCTCCAGGATTTCAACATGTAATCTGGTGTTGTTTTTTATAAAAATTTTTTTTTTTTTAAATTTCATTTTGGTTCACTAAGTAACCCTAAATTATTAAAGTCTTTAATAATTTAGATATCCATATAGAAGTTATAGTCTCATTTGTGTTATATGTATACTTGAATATGTTATATCTTCTTTTTTGATTAGTTTATTACTATATCTTATTTTTTAAATCTATTGGTTTTACAAGTATATTTGAAATACTTACATGAAGCTAGTTTTCTTTCAAGTTCCTTAGCTGTTGCAGTCTCTTTTTCATATTTCTTAAAAAAAAAAAAATATATAAAAAATCACTAGTAATAATTAACCTTTATTTTTATTTTTATCTTGCTAATTATCAAATGATCAAAATATAGTAACTTATATATTTCTGAAAAAAATACATATACATTCCATATACATATCTAAAAAATATATTTGTTGAATTTCAAAAATTAAAAACATGTTTCTTAAAGTTTAAATGTTACATTTTAATAATAAATTATAAACACCAAACTTTATCTATGTTTTATTAAACTGTTTTTTAAGTCAAGTCATATTTTACTTAGATAAACAAAAATAGTAAAAAACATTTAGAGCATTTAACTTTAAGGTCAAAAAGTTTGTTATTTTTTTTCTTCGTGTTTTGACATTTATTTTTAAATAAAAAAATTAGGTACAAATGACCAGTATATGGATTTCATTAAAAATCATTTTTATAATATAAGAATTTCATTAAAAATCAAACAAAAAATCTGCAAAAAAACAAACAAAAAAAAACAACAACAACAAAGAACTTTAGCACTTAAATAGCTTTTAAAAAGTAGTTTAAATATTTAGTTTCATAATTTTTTTAAAAAAAACAAATGAAATTTTTTTGTTCAAGACCTAAATTTGTTCCCAAATTAGACTTAGACCGTCAAATACTGGATCTTTTATGTTCTTCAATAATAATTAAAGGTCAGTTGAGATCAGAGGTATCAACATAAAGCTCAACTTTTTCTTTGTCCAAATTTAAAAATACACACATAAGCTCATATAGATTTGGAGCAACTAGACTATGAGGTTTAACTTTTTGAATCGATTGGATAATCCAAACTTGAGCAAACTATTGTGTTGATTCATTGATTTGATAGCGCCAAAATCTAGACTACAACTGATACAAACTTTTTTTGAAAGGAACTTTGAATGCTTGGACATAGTATGGCAATCCTTTTGGAAATTGTTTGTAACTGGCTTAAGAAAAATTATTTCGAAATTAATATATTTAAAATAAGGCTTACAAAATTGTTCTTTGTATTATTGCACTAGAGTCTATTTTTCTCCTTGGAACAAAGAAACTGGCGGAGAAGAACTATTTAATAAGACGAAACAGTTAGTTATGACGATAACCGCAGTTTTGATCATTACATTTTTACATTTAAAGTATATATCGACTTTCTCTGACATGTTTACCATCCCACTATGCTCCAAAAATTTTTCAGTAAGATATACAATACCATTTTGTAAAACAAAAAGGTATTGAAGTTCTTTCTTCAACTGATCTTGTTTTAGGGCTTGTTTTAATAAAACTTTTGAGAAATTGAAGTTTTCTTGTAATGCTATTTTACTGTATTCACTTGTTGTAATTGATGGGCTTGCATCAGTCACGCCATCAAAAGTAATTTTAGATTTAATTGATTGATTTTTTATTTAGATGATAAATAACTTTTTACCCTGATTATATAATTTTTTTATGAATAAAATTTTTATATTTATATAATTATGATTTTTCAGATTTTTTTATTCATATAATTATTTTTTTATGATAAATGTTAATTTTTTAAAAACTAAACTTAAAAAAAAAACAACCTATAAATGTATTTCAAAAAAAAGCATAAAACGGTTTTAAAAAGAGTTTTAAAAATACTTTTTTTATATAATTATTTACCACCATGTATTTAAATAAAAACTTACAATTTTTGAATTGGTAAAAAAAAACACAAATATAAATTAAGTGTGAATATTTATTTAATAATCAATAGAATTGAATTGTTTCTTTATTTAAAAACGGTTTCCTATAATATATAAACATTAGTGAAAATAAAAGATTCCAAGTTTATTATTCCAAATAAAATCAAAAACTTGATTTAAACAAAATTAGCATTTTAATCTTTTGAGTTTTAACTTAGTTAAGTTATATTTTTGTTTTTTGTGCTTTAGTTTCATTCATCATTCATTCAAGTTTTAATTACAAAACAGTGATTATCGAGATCAAAGTTTTAAAATTTATAAAAATTTTTACTGAAAAAATATACCAAAAAATATTTTGAAGAAATATCTGGAAATTTATGATTGCATTTTGTATAATTAAGAAAACTTTGTTTAAAAAGAATTTTATTATTTGTATGCACGTACATAATAGAAACATTTTTACACAAAAAATCTTTAAATACTTTAATTTTTCATTCAGTTAAAATAGCAGTTTAGTGTTATGGATGTTAAATTACTAAATTTATAAGACGCAGCTGATAAGATTGCAGGTTCAAATCTTCTTCAGAAACTTTTTTCTTTTGATTTGAAAAAAAGTTTTATTTTGTCTTAGGTTTTTAACTATTACTGTTTATTTATAATTATATTTACCATTTGTATTTTGAAGTTTCATAGAATAAGTGCATGATTTGGTACAGAAATTGACAGATATAGCTGTATTCACAGCAGAAGGTCATAGATTGACCTGGCTTAAATAAGAATAGACGCAGTCAAGTGTACATGCAAAGTATTTCAATATTTGTTTAAATAGGGTTTATAAATTATTTTAATTTATATAAATATTAAATTCAGAGATGTAGGTCTCAAGGCCAAAGTCTTGGTCTAGAGATCAAAGTCTTGACCTTGAGACGTGGTCTTGAGACTTTACTCAGCTTACTTACTTAATTACTCAGCTTTACGTGAATAAAAACTTCAGCAATCTTTCTGAAGTTTTAATTAACGTAAAGCTGAGTTATTACTGAGTAAATTGCTTAACTTTACGTGAATAAAAATTTAAGAAAAACTACTAAAGTTTTTATTCATGTAAAGCTGTCCAATTATTGAGTAAAAGCAATTTCCCGCTTTTAACGATAGCTCGTCGCGTTGGATTGACAAATTTCTAAATTTATGTTAAGAGAATTAAAAAAAAAATCTTTTAAATTTTTTTTTTTTAAAGGTTTAATAAAAATAATTTATATCATTATTTTTTTATTTGTTTATGTTTTTTTTGTTTTTTTTTGATTGGTGTATAAAAATGCACAAAAAATAAGTACATAAATATTTGTATTTAGACATTAAAAAAAAAAGAAATAAGATTTATTTGCTATTCTCCTAATACAAAAAAAAATTAGTTTGAACCTTGTCAAACCCACGTGACGAGTTGTATCTAAAGGCTCTTTTTCTTTAAGAATACCTTTGTTAAACAGTCAAAATGACTGATAAACTTCCTGCAATTATTAAATTTGGTTGTTGTGATTTTAGTGAAAGTCATAAAGTAATTAAAGACAAAGTTATGTTCAAAACTTTAAAAGATTTTAAACGTTTTTAAAAGAGAACTATTTCATTACGTAAAAAATTGCATAAGTTTCTCTACCATAGATTTAAATCTGTAAAACAAATGAAAAACTATTTTAAAATTTAGAAAAAAGGAGAAGTGCTTTTGTTTGAAAGTATTCAATAGAAATACTAAAGAATCTTTATTATTTCGATTCTTTAACAAAGATAAACAATATATTGTTTATTTAAAAAAAAAAAAACATCTTGACCAAATTAAAATTACAGACTCCTAAGTTGCAAACCTTATTGTTGGTTGCTCACTTCCATTATCTTTTGTTGAAAGTTCAAATTTTTAGAAATTTATCTGCAATCTGAATTACAAGTACATACTACCATCACGAAACCATCGAACATTAATACTAGAGGCTGTTAAAGAAAAAAGAGAACTTATTTCAAAACAAGTTCAGTACATTGGGCATATAGCAATAACTGTTGATATTTGGACTGATAGAAGGATGCATTCTTATCTTGCTTGTACGGGACACTACTTTTCTGATGACAAGCTCCAAAATTTTCTTTTGGCTATTCATCCAGTCAAAGGAATGCATAATGGCCTATTAATTGCAGATGAAATAAATAACATCATTGAGCAAAATCAAACAGAACAAAGCTAAGATGTGTTGATACTGATATCGCCTCAAATATGAAAAAGCATTTGATGTGCTCAGTGAATTACAAACTAATGAGAGTGAAGGAAAATCTGGACATATTGTTATAGTTGATGGCAAAGAAATGGGGAATGATCTGCATGAAGAAGATCAACTCATCATTAACGAAGCTATTGAGCAACAGGCAATTAAAAGATTAGCTTGCTATGCGCATTCTTTGCAGCTGTGTGTAAAAGATGGATCAACTCATCTAAAAACAGCTAACAGTTTATTAGCCAAATGCTCAAAGCTGGCAAATTAAACACATCAAAGCACCAAAAACCAATGCTACAAGGTGGAACAGCATGTATGTTCAGCTGTCCAGTATTATCAGGTTGGGTCCTGTAAAACTTTTGATTTGCTCAGAGGAGACCATAGTAATCTTATCTTGACACAACGTGAGATGGCAATGGTTCGTGAACTTGTAGAAATTCTTCAGCCATTTGCAAAGGCTACAGATTTGTTACAGGGTGATAACTATCCAACAATAGGATGCGTTGTGCCTTAAATTGTTGGCCGGTATAAATGTCTTAACACACTCAGTTCAACTGTCAAGTATCACACTCCACTGGTTAATGGTTTGTTGAGTTTCTTGAGTGACAGATTTGGTGGATTGTTGCAGAATGTCAAAATTTTGCCAACAGGTGACAGAATTATGAAGAACTAAAACTTTTCTTTAATGCTTTAGCTTTTGGGCTCAGCCTTAGATCCTAGTTACTTGTTACGTTGGCTAGACGAAGATCATTCTGGATCAGATGATGTCAAGAGATTTGTTCGTGAACATATTGCGAGAAAGCTAAAGAAGTTTTATTTTTATTGAACTATTAAGTTGTTTTCAAATGGATAAAAAATTAATGGTGGTTTGTTGATTATAACAAAATTATTAGGGTATAATTATATTCTGTTACAATTTTTCAGTTTTAAATAGATTTTATTGTTTTATTTTTATGCTTTACTTTGACAATATTGATTTTTCAGCTCTTATAACAGCAGATGTTTCGGCCATTATAGTAAAGTCACAAACCACTCAAGATCTATAGGCACCTTCCACTCAGAACTTATTGCCGCCAACAGCAGAAGAGGAAGAGTTTCAAGAACAATGGTAGTGCTAGTAGTTACATGACTCTTTCAAGCAAGCGTAAATCAACGCTTTTTGCTTCATAGGCAAAACGTCGTCAAAGAATTGAACAGAGACAACAAAATATTGTTCCGTTGTCACCAATCACTATTGTTATAGCTTTTATTGAAAAAATGATTTCCATTGCATCAAGCACATATGGAGAAGATGCATGGGTGAAAGCACAATCTGCTGAATATTACAATATTATGTTATAGAATATCTGTTATAGAATCTTTTCTGTATTCCAGCTTCTTCTGCACCAGTAGAGAGTGTATTCAGAAAGGGAGATCTAACTATGCAACTAAATCATGCCAGAATGGGTGATGAGATGTTAATGTCTCTTGTTTATTTAAAATGTAACAGTGATGTGTAACCCATAATTTATGACAATGTGTAGCTTGTTTCTACTAGGATTAACTAACATGTTATATAAGTTGTGAAATCAAGTTGCACAAACTTGTCTGTTTAACTTCTTACTTAAAGTACTTAAATAAAAATATGTAAACGTTACTTGAACGAGTCATTTTAGAAATAAAAAATCAAAAGTCTAAAAGTCAAAAAAAAAGACCAGGGTAAATATGGCTAAAGAAGAATTTGATTTATCAGCCATAATTACGCTGATTCTGCTTAAGATAAAGATATAGTATATACAATATAATATATCATTGTCTCAAGCAAAATCAATGTCATTATTTAGGGATTGCGGCTGATATTTCAGATTAATCTTTAGCCATATTCAACCCGGTTTTTTATTTATGTTTTTGTTTCTGAAATGACCCATTCACTTTTTTGTAACTATAATATGTGGCTACTGGTCTAGCATGTCTGTTATTTGTTTTTAGACATTTTTTATTGGTACTTTTTGTTTTTAACATTACAAAAAAAGTTAGTTTGTTATTGTTGTTATTATTACTGAAAGTTTTCTGCTTTTATTTAATATATCTTTTGTAGACTGCAATCACATCATACACGCGTAACTATGTTTTATTATAAGGTAATGTTTATAACTGCTAAATTATCACACCAACTAAGGTCTAATAGTATTCAAACATTTTTTTTGACACGAGCAAAAACCAAGCATATAGATCCAGCATTCTTTGCTGGATTCTTTGTACCCCTTCTTTATTTTACGCTAGCCTAATTAAAGAGGGGGTGCAAAGCTGGTCAACAAATAGAACCTGTTTACCCCTTACATGTGTGAGCATTTTATTGGACTTCTTTGAACCTTAGTCTTGATCTCGGTCTTGAAAAACTTTTAAAGTCTTGGTCTTGGGTTGATTTTTTGATGTCTTGTTTTTTGTCTTGAAGCATTCAGTCTTGGTCTTGGATTTGGTCTTAAGCCTAAATATTTTGGTCTTAGTCTTGGTCTTGGCCTTAACAGTCTTGACTACATTTCTGAATAAATTACACTAGAATTTTAAGAGAAATAGTCAAAATAACTAATATTGCAGCTTACAATTAGAAAAACTTTGTTGTAAACTTGTACAAAAAATACCTAACCTAATAAAATATAGTATCGAGTAACTGATGAATGCCTTTACTGTTTTAATTATTTAATGACAGTTATATACAAAAAAAAAATTTAACATGCATTTTGAAAAATATTTAGATATCTGGATAAAATAACATTGTTAAGAAATATCTGGAAAAACATAATCCCTGACAAAAAATCTTTTCTAACTTGCTCTACATTTTATTTTCTCTATGAGTTTTTTTTTATCTAAATATTAAAATTAATTGCTAATTTGTTATAACATTGATTATTTTAGACTTGATAATTACATACTGTATATAAACTGCATTTACTGCAATAATTGCATTTACTGTATATAAATTTATCTTTTTATAATTAGAATTAAAGTATGCTTAAAATATTTGAGAAACTTACTTTCCGTTCTTCTTTTTCTTCTCTAGTTTCACCTCTAGTTGCAGGTGGAGGAGGCTTTACCTATAAAAAATACACACACAAAAGAAATAAAAACACATTACATTAGCCATATATTCAAATAAACTGATTATATAAAAAAAAAAAACTCAAAATAACCAAAAAACCTCGAAATTTGATACAAAATCTCCTAAACCAACATAACAGTGGCTATTTTTTCGCTTTTTAAGACCTTCCACAGGTGGTTTAAACGGAATAGGTGGACGTGCCGAAAATAATGCTAAAAGATTAGCTGGTAAAAACTGTGTCATCTTTTGATATTATTTTTCTAAATAGATTTAAACAGTATATTATGCAACTGTAAGCATTTGGATTATGCTTTTTTCTTTAAAAAAAATATTTAAAATCATAGAATAATACAAAAATATTAACACGGCATACTAACTCAATAACATTACTGCATTACTTTTATGCTAAAAACTTATTCATTATGTAAATACTTTGGTTTGGTTGCATTTGTGCTAAATTATTGCAGTTTCACAGATAATTGTCACATAGTTTTTTTCAGTTTACAGATTAAAATTTTTACTAATACAGTATGATTTCTTTTATTATTATTTTTATTCTATATTTTGCTATACAACAATTTCAAATTAGATAACTTTTTTTTTTAAGCAAAGGTGAACTTCAGGCAAACTCTTTTAGTAAGTTTGTAAAAAAAGTGTCTTATCTAGAACAAGTGTTGTTGAAACCATATACATTTCAATAAATTGACCATAAAGGTCAATTTATTGAAATCCATACCTAAACCCTTACACTTAATGCGAGTAAAGCTTTAGCTTCTTTCTATTAAATTTAATAGCCTTGGCTAATCTAAATTTTTATAACTATCATTTTTATTTAAAATATGCTTTATAAAGTTTGATTTTGCTAAAGTTTTTTTTATCAGTTTTTGCAATTAATATAGGAATTTAAAAAACTAAATATGAAAATAATGTAAGTTCACTTCTCGTGCATTAATTAAAATCAAATCTTTAACTCATCAATCTGCGCTTCCCAATGATTTTTTTTCTACTGAAAAAAAATTGTCAAGATAAATGATCAGTTTGATGATTGCATTCCTTGGACTTCGGATTTCTAAATAGTTTGTTTTGAAATAGAAATAAAAATAACATTAATGATTGAATGTAAAATAAATGATAATTTAACTAAAGCATGATAATTTAACTATATTTAACTATAAGCAAGTATATTTTTATCGCATATAACGAAAAATTAGAAAAGTATCTAGTAAAAATTTCAGATTAGATCTTTCGCCGAAAAGATCAATTATGGCGATGTATTTCTCTTGTGCCCTCTAACATACACGATTTCGATATATTCGTGCACTTGCAACACAGAAAATAATTTATTTTTAATAAACATGGTGGGGTTCATTTAGTAAAATTGAGTTTTGGTAAAATTTTAGTACGTTGAGTAAAATTGAGTGAAAAAAACAGAAACACTATTTAAACCTTAAAAAAAAAGAGTTAATAAAAAAATCTTAATCCCTATAAAAATAATTTAGATTTAAAAATAATAAAAAAAATACTTTTCAATTTTGGAATAAAACAATGATATCACTCAATAGAGCCGTGGCTAGGCTACACACCCAAACTGAGGGGAGGGGTAATTTTAGGGGCTCTTCTACAAATTTAGTGAGTTTTTTTTTTTAGTAACACCATAGTTAATAGAAGTTATTGATAGGAGTTCTAGATGGTATAATTTCTATTGACTATGGTAATACATAGCGAAAAGTTTTTGTTTTTTTTTGGTAGGGGGGGAGAGGTAGTCTCTGCGAGATTTTTCAATGTGGAATCCGTATGAAAATTTGAAACTTTAAATCCATATGGATAACTAGTAAGATCACGGTCACCCGGGGCCCCCGTTTGAAGCAATCATTTGCATATTTAAATTTTATTCATTTTGAGAATTTAAGTGAAGCCGAGGAAGCCTAAGAAATATATGTATTTAACGCATCTTTAATAAATAGCAAATTCAAAGACACACGAGGTGCCTGTTTTTAGCAAACAATAGTGTTTTCCAAAAACATGCATAAAAGTTTATACTTCTATAAGCATAAATTTTACTTATTTTGATATTAATAATATAATAACTTATAATAATAATAAAAATTATAATTATAATAAAGCCATCATGTACGATAAAGAATTTGTATATAAAGAATTTGAAGAAGCCTTTTCCTCTTTAAAAAAAAAAGAAAGCACATGGATTTGATGAAATAACTTGTGATTTAGTTATCTTTAATAAAACCAGTTTAAGTAGACCTCTGATCCATATACTAAAGCTCTCAATAACATCTGGGATTTTCCCTGATGTACTTAAATTAGCAAAAGTAATCCCTATATTTAAATGTAATGAACATTCGGACATAACCAACTTTAGACCTATATCAATACTTTCTGTTTTTTCAAAACTCTTCGAACGTGTGATTTATAATAGAATCTATAACTACTTTACCAAAAACAAATTATTTTACCCAAACCAGTTTGGATTTTAAAAAAACCTTTTAACAGAGCATGCAATTATTGAATTAGTTAATCAAATAACCGATGGTTTTAATCAAAACAAATTTACTTTAGGAGTTTTTATTGACTTATCAAAAGCTTTTGATACAGTGCATCCTATTAGATAAACTTCAGATACCACTGCATCCTATTAGATAAACTAAAATACTATGGTATAATTAATAAAACTTACAATTGGATTAAAAGTTATCTTACCAATAGAAAACAATATGTGTGCAATATACAATCTGGAGTATTAAATGTTTTATGTAGAGTTCCCCAAGGATCTATCCTTGGTCCACTTCTGTTTCTAATTTATATAAATGATTTTTGCAATGCATCTTTAAAACTAAATTCAGTCATGTTTGCTGACGATACAAATCTATTTCTTACTAACAGTGATATCAAGAATCTATATGCAGACATGAATATCGAACTAATTAAAGTAAATAATTGGTTTAGAGCTAACAAACTCTCGCTTAACTCAGAGAAAACAAAATATATATTATTCCATAAAAAGGCGCAAGAAGAAAACCTTCCTCTTAAGTTGCCTGACCTTATCCTAAATGATAACTTAATTAAAAAACAAGCCAGCATTAGATTCTTAGGAGTTCTTGTTGATGAGAAGCTATCCTGGCTTCCTCAAATAAGATATATTCAATCTAAAATCAGTAATATAATTGGTATGATGTATAGAGTTCGCTCATATATCAATAAACAAAGTCTAAAACTAATTTACTTTGGAAAAACTTAAAAAAATCTATAGTCTACAAAAACACGCATGCAGAATCATTTACTTTAAAAATAAGCGGGAGCATGCAAAACCTATAATGAAAGATATGAAAATGATGGATGTTTTTGAAATAAATATCTATCAGCATTTAATTTTTATGTATCAATTTAATAATAATCTCTCTCCTACAAACTTTACTAACAAGTTTGAAATAAACATAAATGAAAACTACTATCTAAGAGCAAATATAAGTAACACATATAAACTGCCTCAAAACCTTAATAAATATACTGAATATAGCATTGCATATCGGGGGCTAAATATATGGAATAGATATCAAAAAGGATCCAAATGTATGGCAAAGTCATTAAGTTCATTTAAGTTTCTGATAAAAAAAGAAATTTTTAAAATTTGATTATTATTTGTGCTTAAAAGGATTACAAAGTAATTTTCTTTATAATCTTATTTATTTGTTTTTATTGATCAGCCCAGCAGTTTTATGCCCATTAAGGTTTTTAATTTAATTTAATATCCATAACCTAATGAAAATGTATATAGGGGGCTCTATGAAAAGATTGCGATGACGTTTTGTCATTTTCATCTTCTTTGAGCCCCTGTCTGTTTAACTCTTTATTTTATAAAGATCATTGTAAAAAAGTATAGTTTATTTTATATACTGTATATACAAAAACGGTGCTTGTTGACAAGATTTTACTGTCTTCTTTGTTATACGGACATATTTCTTTCTTTCTTGTATATATATGTTGATTATATTTGTTAAACAGCAAAATAAATGTAAAAAAAAAAAAAAAAAAAAAAAAAAATTATTAATTATAATTATATTCATTTAAAATCATGCAAATATAAAATTTATTATTTATTTATTATTACTTACATTGTGTGTGTATATATATATATATATATATATATATATATATATATATATATATATATATATATATATATATATATATATATGTGTGTGTGTGTGTGTGTGTGTGTGTGTGTGTGTGTGTATTGTATATATATATATATATATATATATATATATATATATATATATATATATATAAATGTGTAAATAAATAATTACTTTGTGCAGTGAACTTTTTGTTTAATTTTTTTCTTTTTTTTTTTTAGTTACGTTTAAACTGGTATTAAAATGTTGTACCGGATGATGTAGGGTTGTTAACCGGAGGATTTCGTGCAATTCCGGAAAAACAACATTCTTTCGTAAGGAGATTGAGAACACGAAATTACATTTTTTCGTACCGAATGTTACAAAACATTTAAAATCGCCGATGTTCATTTCGCAAAAGCCACTTCCGAAATTTAGCATTTCGCATGTTAACATAGGAAACAAAACTATTTTGCAACATACAAAAGTAGCGGTTTCGGAAGTCGCACTTGCGAAACAAACATTCGCCAAACGACGTTTTGAAGTCTATAAAGAAAATTTGTTTGCCAGACTGATTTTAATTGTAAAAATTAACATCTTTAAATCCCCAAAATGTTTATAATGAATTTTTATTTTCAGTATAATAACATATTAAATTTTTATGGTTTTATTTTTAGAAATATTGATAAAAAATAAAATTTCTTTCGAAACGAAAGTATTTCGGATCACAACATACGAAAGAATTCTTAACGGAAATAAACTTACGAAACGTGCCATAATAAATATATACAATGATGTTTTTTGAACTCATTACGTATATTAAAAATAAGAATGATGGGTAGGAATATACATGTTTTTTTTTTTTAAAGCATATGAAATTTTTGAAACAGGTTCGAATATGCTTAAGCAAATAGTAAAAAGAGGTTTAAAAATATGCTTTAGCTTAAGCATATTTCTGATAAAATATATCTATTTCAATAATTTCTAAAAGTGTGCACGTTACTAAAGTTCTAGCAGATTTTAAAGGTATGTAGAGTCCTGTTTGAATACGCTTTTCGAAGTATAGATCTTAGAAAATATTGTTTTTTAATTTTAATAAGATATAAATTTAAGTATAAGATTGTATAGTT